TGAACCACAATCTTACGTAGTTCTCAAGCACTGGGTACCTGTTAATGTCAAGGATACCTTAAATTTATATTCTCTTGAGAGAAGTCATTCCATAGCCATGTATTAATTATCTAAAAGGTGTCAGACATTCATTGTCTAAAGTGATTTGATATCTCTGACTTCTCAATTTAAATTTGTTCATAATCTGCCACCATCCCTAATCTTCCATTCTTAATTTTTCTTCATAATACTCATTTCCTCTAGCCCAATACATAGCTTGCTTACTTAAATTTGTTCAATGCCTGCCTCCCCTCACTAAAATATAAGTTCCACAAAGACAAGGATATGTGTCATGTGTTGCTTTATCCTTAGTGCTTAAAAGAGTGCCACACACTTAATCAGTGCTCAATAAATAGCTCTTGAATAAATAAAATATTATCTCAGACTTTATGGTCCCCAGTTAGAGTCAAGATTATCTTTATTTTACACTTGAAACTGAGGCTAGGAGAAGTCAGGTAATTTGTTCAAGATTACCCAGCTAGTAAGGGACAGTGCCAGAATTCAAGCCCAGGACTTCTAATACATCTGTTTCCAACTACATTCATCTGCTTCTGCCATTTGCAGTTTTTCTGCATATGATCCTCACCAGTTCTACATGTCTTGATTGGGACTTATTGTTCTATGAGGCAATCTAAGATTGAGTACTGCATTTGCAGGAAAGATAACCTCTGTGCTTCAGCCTACCTCACTGCAAGATTGGGAAGCTTAGAGGGTAGGAGTAGGCCACAGAAGGGAAGGAGCATAACCAAGTAAATACTCCCAAATATCAGACATTTTCTAAGATGTGTATAGATAAATATTTGCAGAAACCTTTTTAAGTTTTTGTTTTGTTTTGCAGAAGATCTTTTATGATCCCTTTAAAGCCTGTTTCCTTCATCCCCCTCCCCTCCTTTTTCTTGGCAAGCCATTGAACCATGGCTCATGCTAAGGTTATATAAACTCCACAAAATGAGTAGAAGTGGTTGACTCAATTCTCTGATTTACTTTTGTGTGATCTGTTTCTGGTCAGCAGTGATTTTTTTTTAAATTCTAGTCTGTCGTGTGCATATTTACATAACAATCTTCTATTGTTTCACAAAAGTATAAAAAGCCAGAGAAGAGACTGGTAAGCTATGTTGAATGAAATCTGTGAAATGTCAACTGCAGATCAGCAGCTGGGGGACAGAATTGGGCCTACAAAAATTTCAGATGGTCTCTCTTATGGCTTTTGGACACTGCTATAACTCAGAATGAATTAGAGTGATGTTATCTCATCCTGATGGAGTAGGGGAATGAGATATTTCATAGAAAAAAAATGTAAATCATTTCAATTTATAGTCAGCTTCAAAACTGTTTATTTTAGCATCGAAATTTTAAATTTACCTTCTTTGAATTAAAAATAGTCTCTCTGTTTTGGGCAGAATATTCAGACCATATTCATTTTGGTATGTGTCTGCATGTTAAAAAACAAAGTTGGAAAATAGTTGAAGACACTAAGATAATGGGATTCATTCTACCTTCAATAACAATAAGAACATTTTGTGTTTTAGTGAGCTTCTGTTAAGTACGCATGTTTTGTTTTGTTTTTCTTCTGGAGTAAATGCACTCAAACTGCTCAAAAGGGATCAACAATCTTGATCCCTTTTGAGTTTTGAAATAACGTTTCTGACATCTCTCTTGCTATGAGCTCTTAGTGATTATTTTGGATGCTCCTAGGGCCTTGCCTCTAACAGTTGGACTTTTTTCACCTTCTCTACTCCTCTCCTGCCTTTGTACCCCTGCCTTTAATTTACTATTTCTACTCTACTCTGAGCTAGTTAATAGGTAACCAAGTTTATAAAAATTAAATTTAAATCAATAAAGGGATTGTGAGAGATTTTTCAATAAAATACTATGTAGTGCGTTTAGGCTGTAATGAAATTGATTCTGTGTACTGTACTTGAAAATCAGTTACATTTATATACTCAGTACTTATGCAGGATTTTTTTAGTGCCAAATTCTTATTTATTTCCTTCTTCCTGACAATTGTCTGGATAATTGAGATCATGTCTTATCACTTTTCATCTTTTCTCTATACATGTAAAAGTTAAAATTTTTGTACCAATTCTTTCCTTTCCAGGTCAAAGACTACCTTTGGTATACATTTATTTACTTAGAACACTTAGAAAAGTTTGTATTTAAATTTTTATTAATAATTTACATGGAATGACATACTATATTTTGAAATTATATTAACTTTATACTATATAATCTTATTTCTTTGAATAACATGGAGAAGTGTTCAGTCTGCATTAACAAAAAGCAAAATATGAAGTTAGGTGAAGGCTCAACAGGTATTGTTTTATGCCTCCTGGGTCTCTGAGGTAAGCAGTGCTAAAACCTTGGCGTGTATACTACCACATTTATTTTCTTTCCTCATCTTTATTATTATATATTAAGTACTATGTGGTAACCAAGAGAGTATAGAGTATGGTCAGAGTTTGGAACTTGTGTGAATGAATATGATAATAATGATTTATAATTAGGATATAATTATATGCTCTCCCCAGATAAATATATAGATCTATAATATATATGTAGATATATAATCTACATATAGATACAAAGTCTATTATACAGAATTTACATTCTAGATGACTCATAAAATGCTCAAATGAATTCTGATGTTTTAGTTGGTTGAATACTCCCTTTTTTATAGATGGTAATCATAATTCTCCCTATTGGCACATCATCCCAAATTATAAAAATATAAGGTTTCATATTGCTGACAGTTTTTGCCCCCTTCCCCTTCCTCATCCACCTTTTCTGCTCTGTTAATCAAATCTTTGTTTATGAGTGAGACTTAGTGTGCTGTGGGGGTGGAAAATTGTGAAAAAAAATTGTTTTCCATCAAGCCCATGATATTGGGGTAATACTTCTAAATACTGAAGCTTGACTGATTCACACATTTCTATGCTGTCAGTCTTCACAGAAAGGAAAGGTGGCAGAAGTACCAGAAGAAAAGACCAGAAAACCATGCATTTGTTATTCCCAAATGAAGAAATAAAATTAGGAAGCCAGTCAAAGTTTCTTGCTGCTTCGCCCAAAAAACAAATTGAGATGACAAAAATGGCCGTTTAGTAGTGACATAGATTGCAATTCAAATGCCACCGCCCCCCACCACCCAAGGGGTCTCTTGCCCAACAGGATTCCAGTGTCGTGTGGACCTGTGGACTCCTTCTAGCCCTAAAGTCTGTGATTCCACAGTTCCTCACCCCTACCCCATAACCTCAGAATGGCTTTTGAGACACATTAAGGATGTGTTCCCCAAGATATTAGCCTCCACATGAAGAATCCTGGCATATGAGTTTTTACTAGATGTTCTCAGGTCAGTGTCAGTATTCTTCTCCTGTGTTTTCTTTCAAGGCCATTCAGCAAGTATTTTTAGGCTAATTCCAATTAAGATGATGTGCTTAGAAAATATATATTTACCTGCACAGGACATTCACTATTCTCTTTCATCAGAGAGATATAAATTATCGATTAAGCAGGCATCCTAAGCCAGCTAGTTTGTTTAAGTGTCCACTGGCTTCTCTTCTCTAGAGGTTAACTATTCCAAATCCTCCCCTCTTGGTTTCTGTATCACCTTCTTACATAGCTTCTTCATACCTCCACAAGGAGAATGCAAGAAGAACGTGGATTTCATCCCGTGGTTTCTCACAGCTGCAGTACAGGTGTGGAAGCATTGCCTTATTAAGTATCTGGCTTAGAACATTACGAATTACTTTATAAACTTGACTGCTTCATTCTCCTTTTTATCATCTACAGTCCTACACAAAAGCCTAGCAAAGTGATTTGTTCGTGTGAAATAAGTGGTGTACACAGATGGCAGACTCTACACATTAGTGTAAAACAAAGCCTGTCTTTCAATAGCCGATTGAAAGTTTTAAACTTATTGGGCCTTTTCGGGAAGATTAAACAATTCATTGCTAAGATAGTTTTCCCAAATATTATTTTGCTGCTTCGTTTCACTACATTTACAGATTCCCTGCTCCTTTCTATATCACACTTATCTTATGCCAGCCCCTTGCGAAACTGGCAAATTGAGTACCGTTTTGATAGTCTATGGACATTACTAAACTTTAACATTGTTCTCACACGTATACCTTCTCTTCAATGTTAAAATGTATATACTGTTCTTTTACATCTAGTCAGTCACATCCTATCAGTTCTCCCTTACAATTAGAAGATCAATGGACAGTTATCCGTTTTACATCTCAGGTTAATTAATGATATCACCTTATTTAAACACCCATATGTCCCCACCTCAGAACCTACCAGTAGTCTTATTGTTATTGGCACATGTGACTGCAAAAGATGTCCCACATAGCGTTCTTGTTACACCCTGGGCAGTGTTCTTTGCCAAGCACAGAACCCCCACAGATTTCTTGGGTTCTGGATTTCAAGCCACACTTGACCTTTGAGGTTTAAGCTAATTTATTCTTAGCAAAAGAAAATGTATTGTTTAAAAAGAATAGGATTAGAGAGGCTTATAATAAAGACATGTAACACTTCTTGGACCTCTGATATGTCTTACAGAACAAAATGTTTATGAGCTAAGTGTAAATGAATCAGAAACATACGGATCAAATTTCCCCTAAAATGCAAACGGATTTAAAAATTAGCAGAAAAACGGTCTGACAAAAGATGTGCTTTTAATTTCACCAAACCCAGAGTATTTGAAATGCATTTTAAGAAGCTTGACAAACCCAAAGAGTGACTAGATTTTTCCCTTTGTTGTTCTCTTTTATTCCCTCCATATCTCCATTGATAAGTCAGTAGTTAAAAATGGAAGACAAAAGTCTTAAAGATTTTTTTTAAAAAGGCTTTTAGTCGTGCTGTTATATAGTCAGAATGGGAAATTAGAATTTGGCTTTGAACAGTGTCTTTGCTCCTGTGATTTTTACAGTCCCTCATGTTTCCTTTTAAAATTATTTTCTCAGGTTTGCACCTTCAGCTCCATCTCCTCACCACATCAGCCCCCGGAGAGTTCCAGCTCCTTCTTCGATAATGCAGAGAACACAGCCTCCCCATACACAGCAGCCCTCAGGATCACACCTGAAGTCTTATCAGCAAGAAACAAACTCTTCTTTTCAACCAAATGGCATCCATGTCCATGGTAAGTGAGGAGCTGTCAGTCTCTTGAGTTTTGAAAAGTGATGTTTTGCTGTTGTTTTTAATCAAGTGTCTTAGTTACCAGTTGTGGATTTCAAATGCTCTGTTATACACCAGACTTCCCTCTAAAATTTCACAATCAGCATGAAATCTTATAGTATTTTCCTGGCTTTGGCCCTAAGATTGTATGATTTATGACACCTTAAAGTGGTCAGCCCAAGGTGATAATCTATTCATTAACCCGGCGCTTTAACACCTCATGGATAGGCCTTAATAACAGCATCTTGTTTTCTAAACAATAAACATTTTGTAGAAGGGAACAACAGGAGTCCTTTCCCCCATACACACCTCTCCTCTTACAGGTCTCTGCCCCATTCCCATATGCCCAGATCCTTTCTGTCCTTCAGGACCTAGATGAAATGACACCTCCTCTCTGAAGCCTTTACTGATCTCTTAGCTGGACTTAATCTCTGTGGCTCTAAATTCTGATTACATATCCCCTGCAACCTCCTGTTAGTATTTATGCTCTCTCTACCATATAATTTACTTCTCTGTGAATAAAAATTGTCTTCACTATTAATGTGTAAACCTCCTCTGAGGTCAGAATTTTCTGGCCCATTGTCATTTCTCTTAGAGATCTTAGCATTGTTCTTCACATGTTGCAAAGTCACATAGTTACTTTATGGAGGAATGGGAAGAAAGGAAGGAAGGAAAGTAAGAGAAATCATGATGGTTTTCAAAATGTGCAGCTCTTATGTTTAACTGAGAACATGTATGGAGAACTAAGTCTGGCTTAGTTTCTTTTCTTTATTTGGACCCATTTTGCTGACTCAGATTCTTCTCCATCTACCTCTTAGTGATGCCTGAATTTGCTTCATATGAGTTGTTGCTTGAAATTATGGGTGATGTCTCTAAGCAAATCTAAATCAATATTTAGATTGAGTGTGCTTAAGTGTTAATGGTTTCCCAAGGTGGCAGAATCAAGCAACACTATGGAGCTAGACTTGGATATTAACGGCAATGTAAGGGCCTGGACAGCTAAAGAAGAGATAATGTGGAGACAGTGGGCAGTTGAAGTAAGGGAATGACCTTCAAAAGCCGAGGGTCACTGCCTCTGGCTCAAAGTTTCATCCACCTCTTCTTTGTAGTCACACGGATCCCCTATTCAACAAAATTTGGGCTTTCACCATTCTTTGGACCTATGGTAATTTTTACCTTCTTCTGGTAAATTTCTTCTGAAGCTTTAGTTATTTATTTAACCAAGGAATATTTTTGCTTACCTCTGTGTGCAAAACAATGTATGTGTGAGGGGCAAACAGAGCATTCTCCCTTCCAAGGGGGGTTTCTCACCCCAGATGAGGAGCTTGTCTCAGTCCCACGTGCTGTGAAGCCATCCTTACCTGCAGGCAAGAGGTGGACAGCGTGAATATGGGCTTTGTAGAATACAGAATATAGGTCATTTATCCTAAGATGCATCACATGATTTTTACCTTCACTTTAACATCACTGAAATCTGAACATATCTCAGTTAGTGGCATTATATAATTGGCAATGATTTTTTTCTTTCGGGTGCTATATAGAATAATGGAGCATTTCACAGTCAATGGTGTCACAGTTCCAATAAAATGCAGTGTAACACTCTTTGATTACAACTGTGAAACACATTTTAAAAATTCAAAAATTAACCTATGTATGGGAAAAAATTGGAAAGAAATCCACCAAAACATTAACTTTTTTTTTTTCATCACAGTAGTAGGATAATAGGGGATTTTTTTCCTTCTTTTTTTTTTTCTTTTTTTTTTTTCTGCTTTCCAAAGAAATTTTAAAAGAGATTTTGGGATCAGACCTATTCGAATTTAAATATCAGTGTGCTCAACTGTGTGACTCTGGACAAATTATTGAGCCTCAGTTCACTTTCATTAGATGAAGAGAGTCTTATCTACCATCTCCTATCAGTTGTTATAAGAATTTGACAGGAAAAGCACCTGGTACAGAGTAGGCACTTAATTAATTTAACGTTCTACTTCTACTCTCTTCCTTTTCTTTATTAGACTCTTTGAAGATAGGGATAATGTTTGTAGTCCTGGGACAAACATAATATTTGGTGCAAAGTAGGCATTTAGTAAATATTACTGAATAATTGATTGACTCAAATGAATAATGAAATAAGACACAGAAAATGGAATCTACCTTATTATTTTGCCCTACAGCTTGACAAAAGACTCTTCTCCCACACGTCTCTTTTTTCATTAAAAAATAAATACCTTGTCAACTTGAATGTTTTTTAATTTTCACTTTTTCATTGTTAAAAATTCCTGGGGCCAATGAGAAACTGCTCACAGAGCCCTAAAAAATAAATACATATGACAAGCCTTTCTGGAAGAGATCAGGATATAGTTACGCGAATTGGGAAATCATGACTTTCTCCCAGAAGATGGGCAAGTGGCTGCTGGGATGAGCTTGCAAAGAGAAGGTCTTGCATTAGCTTCTAGGCCACTGCTAGGAATTAAGGGGAAGGGATCCAGATGCAGCCTTACTTCCTCCTCCAAGCAGTTTTCTGAAAATGTTTTTCTGGAACTTTCTAGGCACAAGCATTTCTCATCGACTACTCCTTAGGATAAAGACCAAATTGATCTAATATTTTTCAAGTGAGTGATACAATGCTAGAAATGAGAGGAGCAGAGACCTTCTGAATGAGTTAAATTTATTGACCATGCCTTTCAAATTTGTTTGGAATAGTTTGCTGAATGGCATTATACAGCATCTTGGTAACAGGCAACTTTATCCACAAATAAAACTAGATTTTTAAAGCCCCAAGCAGTGTCAGGGTTGCTTTATGATAGCTACAGTGAGTGTTTATTCTCTTTTAAGAAGTGCATGGCTTTAATGCGCATCATCACCTCCATCTTTCCTATATTCCTTACAGTAGGTAGAGGTCAGAGAAAAATGTCATCACTGTATTTTTAGAGATAGGAACTGAGACATTGAAGAATATAAAATGTATAGGCATTGCTGCCTTGGCAAAATACACAGGCATGTTGAACAAAAGGTCCACGTTTCAGGCCATATTCTTAATGTACTTGTTTCTAAGTCAAAGAAACAAAATACATATGTATTTATGTATTTCCATGGAGAAATATACTTGTATGTAGGTGCCGTTGCATTACATAGAGCTGTGAAAGGGGAGAACTTAGAGGGGCTTTGGTCTTCCAAGTGAAGAAGAAAATGAGGTTAATTGCGTTTTCTTCATGCCAGATTAATTGATATAGAGCTTAGATGTTGTATGCTTAATGCATATTTTTATTGAGAGTTGTTTTATAAAAGGCATACTTTGAAAAGATTAACAGCACTGCTTTTTCAAGTTCTCTCACCTAGCGAATGACCCAGGACCAGGGCACACTTCCGTTGATTCTGCATCCTCTTTATCCGAATGTTCGTATTGCTTTCCTTAGTGAGGTAGATAAGGTGTCGTTTCTTTTAATGTTTGAACGTTGATAGCATTTACGGATCTCTGTTTGGGTGGTATCTCCAAGGCAACATTTTAGTCTTTTATTTTAGATGTAAACATTAGGACAACTCTTTCCAATCATGTAAGCTTGTTCTTTGGCCTTTTTTTTCTCCCTAGGACCATTCTCTTGCCCAGGCAAGCTTCAGAATTTTGCTTGGATTAGTTGCCCGAGAGTTGATATTTGTAGATTTTGTTATGGTGCTAATGGGTAATTTCTTTTTAAATGCCCTATTCACTCCAGGCTGAGAAAATGCCATGGGAATTCCTAGAACAGCATTTTCCCAACCTTCCTGCTTCTGGACTCATCAAGGAGAGGCCAGTTCAGTTCAGTGAGTGTTTATTGTCACCCACTATGTGCCAGGCAAACAGGAATGTCATTTAATTAGTGTACTGTGATACGTGCAATAACAGAAGGTGTCAGAAGCACCCAGTCTTTTCAGAGAAATGTCAGAGAAGGGTTCCTAAAGGTGACTCTTGAGTAGGGTTTTGAAGATAAAGTTTTTATTGGGTAGGCCAAGTGGAAGATGCTTCCAGACAGGTGGAAGCAAAGTGCACAGGCAAGAACACGAGTGATAACATTGCATGTGCCTAAAGAGAAGAGCCAAAGGCAGTTTGTGTATAGCTGGGATATACAGGTTAAGCTGTGGAGCAGAGGAGACTGGGGAACCAGCAAGGCCAGCTCATAAAGGGATTTGGGGCCATGCTCAGTGTAATGCTACCGAATGAAGAAGCCAGCCTTGTATTTTAGGAAAGTCAGCAAGGACGTTGTGTAGAGAATAAAATGGGAGATGTGGGAACATTATTATATCCTAACTGCTGGGATGGACTGCATGTATAGAACACCCAAACAACAGTGACTGAAATAAAAAGTCCAGCTCACTCAGATGCAACTGGGAAATAGGGTCATGATGTCAGAATAATTTGGAACTGTGTTTATTCACACACAATCTTTCCTAGGTTAGGCAACCTGGAATAGTAAGAGATAAAAATGAAAAAGCCCACAGCCTAGCTACTGCACAGACAGGAGCCCTTTCAGTTCTCTTTCAATAAAATTTGAAATGAGCACAACTCCAGGGGCTCCCTCCCCAGAGAGGTGCACACCTGGCCTTGAAGGCCCTCAGCTAATGGCAGATCACAATCCTTCCTGTGTGCTGGTTTTATCACCTGTTGTCCCAGTTCCTGCAAGCCAACATTTCCAGTCGACATTTTTGTGCATTTTTAATAACCACTGAGGAGCCTCTAGCCACGTGGAACTGGCCGCCCAAATTCCCTCTTGATTATTTTGTCACTGCTGAAGTTAGAAGGTTTTAAAGATTTTGAGTGGTCTATCCCAATCCTAGTTTTCCAAAAGAGCCTGTTATTTCTAACATAGATTTTTACAGAGCACAAGACTTTTCAGGAATTGTTCATCATGTGATAGCAGCATTACCAGCATATGGATTTACTCTTCTCACATAATAAGATGCCTAACAATAAACAGTGTGGCACGAAGGAGC